TGGCCAGCTAATTATTAGAAAAAATAGCCAGGCAATGGTGGCACATGCGTAGCCCAGCTACTGGAGGCTGAGGCAGGAGGATCAACTTGAGCCAGGAGTTGGAGGTTGCTGTGAGCGAGGCTGAACGCCACGGCATCACCGCCGGTAGCCTGGGCACAGAGTGAGACTCTGTCCTCAAAAAAAAGAAAAAAAGATAAATCCATTATATACGCACATAGGACCCTATAACTGATTTTAATAAGCTCTAATTAACTTTTTATTCTAGATATGTTTCACATCTCCATGAGGCCGCTTGCTAAGGTTCAGAATTAAAAGCCCCTCTCAGATTGAGACTCCAGACTCACGATTGACCAAAGTGAGGCTATCCCGAATATTGTCACCCATTTACCTTTCCAACAGATTGTCAGGGGCTTGATACAGACACATAAGCCTGTCTTCACCAATAGTAGGGCCCACAGGGTCTAGAGCAGGGGTCCTCAAACATTTTTAAACAGGGGCAGTTCACTGTCCTCAGACCGTGTGAGAGTGCGCACTGTGGGCCTGGGACCAGTCGGCTGCTAAGCAGGACAGGCAGCGGCCGGCCAAAACACCAGAGGGCCGGATACAATGTGCTAGGTGGCCCGCATGTGGTCCATGGCGTAGTTTTTGAGGACGCTGCTCTAGAGGATGGCTCTTTGACCTGAGCTGTGTACACTCCCTTCTGCTCCCCAAGGCTTAGATTCCTGCATCTGACCCAGAGAGAAAAGGAGTCCAATTCCTGTGATGGAATATCTTGAGAAACTAAGAGAAGGAGAAGTTCATACATTGTCTTATGCTTCTCAGTCTGAGACATGCAATTTTACAATGAGGGAGTTAGACTACACAGTGATAAAGTATGTTTCATCATTATGTTCTAAGATTATTTTATATTATTCTAAGTGATAAAACTAGGCCAAAGAAATGAATAAGGAAAAGGGGCAGGAGCAAGGGGGGGAAATGGTCAGCAGAAACTCTGGGTCCTAAACCTATCTCGGCCTTTAATGGCTAATGCCTCCCCCCTGAACCTGCTGCATAACAGAGAAACAAAAGTTGCTTGGCCCCTACCTCTTTCTAGGCTGTGCTGATGATCACATTAACATATGGCTAGGCTACTGTTTCTCCTCAAGAAAATCCTGGCCCAGTGTCAGATTACCCTGATTTCAGAACCCTTTGGCACTTGGAGCTGCTAATACTGGCTGGGAGACCCACAGGAGTGGCATGTAGGAGAGGCTGGGAAAGCCACAATTACTCCTATGCAAAAAGTCACCAATAAAGCACTTGCTGATATTTGCACACAATTCAAAATTTCATAATTGGTTTATCTCAATCACAAGATAATCCCTTGGTTGACCTTGATCCAGTCACTTATCTCTGAGACGTGGGCTGCCATCCGTCACTTAGGGCAAGTGGAATATAAGAAAGAGCTGCAAGGAGTTAATTCCTGCTGCCACTGTCTGTGTGACCTTTCCTCAGCTTTGTCCATCAGTGTAATGAGAGGTTGGACTGGATGGACAAAGTAGCAACCCTAGCTCCGACAAAAGCAGATTCACCAGCTCTTGCAAAGTAACCACAGAGTTAAACCAAACAGGAAAGTTAATCATATTCTCATCCAAGCATCTCAGGGTATTTAGGAAGCACTCAGGGCTATCAGAGACATAAATCCCTACGGTGAGTGTAGTCGAGGGTCCCCTGACAGTGCTTTTAGGGTTTTCCAGGAGATAAATGAGTCAGAGCTCAACCACCTTCCTGATGGATTCTTTGCAACTACTCTTTTCTGGAGCTGCCTTTGCCCTTCCACAGGTTCCACACTTGGGTGCCTCTCCATAAGCCCACTGCAGGAGCAAAAAGCATGAGCCAGGTCAGAAAGGCAATATGGCTGCCAGGTAGGCAAAGACTGACACTTGAGCAGTAACCTGAACTCAGACCAGAGCCGGCTCACAAAGAAAGTGGCCTCTGGAGTCTCCATGTTGGTACTGTCCACAATATGAGGACATCTGTGTCCCTGTCAGAAGGATTAAACCTTGCATGGCCATGACATTTCCTACTTGCCAAGCCTGGTCATAC